CAGCCTGCCACCTGGGAGTAAATTGATGCCACCATCTTGGCTTGAGGATAAGGCTGTTTCAATAATTAAATCTATAACAAAGTTAAATAGAAAAGGAGAGAGGGCAACCCTGTCGAACACCATACTGTGGATTCATTGATATGCTGACTGTGATATTTTCAATTCAGATGGAACAGCCTTGTATTACAGGCAGCTCACGATATTCAACAAAGTCAATTTCGTACGGCTTCGATGTTACAACCAGTGGATCAGGATGTGATTTGGTCTTTTAAATGTTCGTTTCGTAAACATCAACTGGAATATGTTTTGTCTTTGGCCGAGGAAGAGCACCTTAGCATGAAATCCGAAGTGGACATCCTGATGGGCACGCATCTGATCAAGAAATCTTGGGTGTCNTGGGTTCAACCTCAAATTGAATCACTCGATGATGCAGCCACCTGAGGATAACTGCGATTTGATTGAAAACTTTACTCACAGTGTCTATTGATGAACTTCTTTTGGAAATCGCCTGTTTTAAATTTGATGATAAAGCCGTGAGTTATTTAAAACTTTTGCAACAAATCTTTTTTAGTCATTAAGTGGACTCCTTTCTAATCAAGCTAAGCATCCAAAACAAGAGGATGAATGTTAAGCAGTGAATACGCCGGAAGTTATCTCAGTTAGAAAAACACAAAAGTTACTGGATCAATCAAAGCTGTTTACCTTGGGTAATGCTCGGATTTCGGGTCGATTACTGGAGTATATAAATAATTTCCAAAGGAAATCCAGGCTGAGACAAACGACTATTTATGATTGCTAAAATACATCTTCGTAATCTGCAAAGGTTTTTCCCCCGCAATTCTGTGGCCATTCGAGTATGGTCATTTGTGTTGCACTGGTCACCAAAGCCACGGCTATTCGGTCAATCCATGGTCTCAGTCGCAGTTACGTGTAAACGGGTGAACGATGATGGCGATTAACTGGTCAGCAGGCGTGTGGAGTAAGATGTCAGCTCCAAGCGATCGATAAATACCGTCGCGCGGAGGTGCCTGTCGGAATGAATGAACGATAATGGCACTTGTCCTTGTTAGAGCACCGAGGAAATTAGACAGTTTATTGGCCAAAGGTCATTATAACTCGGTCTGACGCGTCAGTGAATGTTTGAACGATGCACTTCTAATCTGTGAATCACGTGTTGAACTGAATCCATCACTAATGTTTACCAACACTGTCCATAACGAATGTATTAATCGGTCGGAACATACACTGTAAACAAAAAAAGCGAACGAACGAGCATAGATGGCTATAGATTTATTACTACGTATTTTCATCAGATAATCACCAATAGGTTGTACAGCGAGCAATTAGTTTGGAATATGGGAAATAAGTCAATGTACTGAGTAAACCCTGTAACAGATATTTTAGCTGACTTAATCTTCTTTCGAATGAGATTTTTTGTTCCGTTATTGACCTAGTTCATCAAATGGGTTAATATTGATTTTGTGGTTATTACACCTAAAACAGTTGTATATTACGGTGAACGCCATATATTCAATTCTGTGGTTAACCTAACATTACATATGAATGGATAACCAACTGGAATTAATATGCGATAATTGAGTTAACAAAGTCATCTGAAGAAAGGTGGGTAGTTTCGGGAGAACTAGAAACTTGAAACTGGAAAACGGCTGAATACCAGATGCAATGTAAGATATTAAACTGAAGGCATGATAAAAGACTTTAATTTCTTCGATACTTAAAGGATACGCAGGACGGTGTATCCAAGTTACGTCATAAATAAACAGTACATAATTTTAAACATTGGGAACGAGTATTAGAATTACCGTACTTTTCATCAATTTGGTTTATTTTACCACAAAACTCCCAACCGTTTAATATACTACTTAATAGCATTTGCTACTGACTAACAAGCTCTGTTGCAGTTCCTGAAATTCACCCACTTTTTTGAATAACAGGAGGTTGACTGTAGTTCGTAACTACCGTCGCCCCGGTCTTTGTCAATCCCTGCTTCAACCACAAGCAGTGATGCTGATGCTGATGATGCGGTCAGACAGTTGTCTCACCGTTCGACCCACATAAATTGCTCCACAGGAACAGGTGAATTGATAAACACAAAATGAGGTCGCATCCGGAGGTAAACTATCGTTAGTCTGCATAAAGAGGACGGAGTTGAACGTTAGTTCAGTTCGGGGTTCAGCCACAAAGTAGATGAATTTGATGGAATATTGATTCCGTCCGCCGAATATTTTCACGATTGTTTCTATGCTGAGTGAGATGGAGAAATAGACACGTTTCTTATTTTCCGTGTCACATAATGCCTTGGGTGGATATGTTGGTTATGCTTTTATGAGTGAATGAATTTGGATAAACATTCTCTAGAAAAAAACATTTCGTATTCTCTCCACTTCAAACCAGACAGAGTTCGTAGAACAATGTTTCTTAACTCTATTGGTCAAGTAGGGAATCAATTTTTTCTTCTGTTGAAGTGGGACGAAACTTCAGTAGTGTGTGGTGTACTGCCACGTCCACGTCTTTTTACAGTGAATGCGTCTACGAATGAAGCCATCTGATCATCAAAATGAGAAAGTGTCTAAAAATGCGAGACCGTTTGTAGATTCCTTTTCCAGCGTGAACTCTATTTTCAGATGAGCTCCATTGAATTTCTCCAACAGGATATCAGCATCCTTGTCAGCATCGTATACACATGTGATGTCATCCACATGTCGTTTGTAGATGGGGGATTCTTCTATGGGTTTTGAGAGTACTCGGTTTTCTAAGTTGGCCATGAAAATATCTGCTAATAGTGGTCCTAATGGCGAACCCATGGCGATTCCATCTTTCTGTCTATAAATCGCACCATTAAACTGAAATTGTATGCTATATGTGCATTGATAAAGAAGCCTCTTCAGCTCAGTTACGTCTAGTCTAATAGAAGATCCCGGATTTTCTCTATAATTGGCGATGAATTCAATAGTCTCTTGGAATGGCAAATTGGTAAATAATGAGGTAACATCCATCGAGGACATCTGTTGATTGGTGCAGCAGACAGACACTAAGAAACATTAATTATCACAATTTCATCATCTCTTCTTAAATGCTGGTTTCCTTCGCAGATATGGGTCTCCTCTCACCGCCTGTTTATTCTGTTATAAATTGCGCTATATTTAGCCAGTGAATGTAGCACCGAAAACGTACTTACTTGCTAACTTGTGTTCTCATTTTCTGAATTTGTTATGTTTGGGTACAAATGTAACGGAATTTCACGTTTGTGTCAAATCATTCCATCTGTAAAGACACCAAACACGGCGTATTGGATTTTGGTTGCGAGTTTCGTTCCACGGATGTTAGTCTTTTCCCAATATATTAAACGCTTATCAACGGCGATGAAATTTTATGTCAGGACTGAGGTCAAACACCGGACGGATGTTTCATCCCTGTTCCGACAGGTTAGCAGTGCTTAAGTTTTCTCACCCATGCGGCATTGGAACACTAAACTTGCGGATCAGCAATTTGGTGCAACCGATTTCCCTCGCTTGTTACGTGGACATATCAATCGCATAACCGTTAGCAACCAGAGAAAGACTGTTGAGTTGTTTTAGAAAATTGATTGTCTGTGAGCTGGGGAGTAGGTATAATATTGAGTGAAAGACAGCGCCCAGAGATGATGCTTTTTAAATCAGGATTCCATCCCTCCCACCCATCTCGCTGCCTTGTGGATCAGACTCTTGAGTCAAAGGCTCCGGTTAGGGTTCCCAAAGAGAAACCCCGTCGTCGGTGTGAGCTAAAGCGAAGTATACCATGCCCTAAAGTCTTAGGCGCTCATTTTCAAAAAACTTCTTTCCGATTTTGAAGCTTCCCACCCTACATCCACCAGATAGAGCGATACATCTCATGTAGTATACTCCAGCATGGCCAAAATTGAATTCAAAAATTGTTAAATAGTAATCACACTAATAATTTTAATTCCCATTATTATGGGAATATGCATTACTGTCGACGTTCAATAAGACTGGTTGGAAAAGTACAGAAAATGGATTAGATAGGCAGCAGTGACGGGGCTCATACATAGAACCTCACAGCCACTTAACCACTCACCGCCTATATAAACTGTTGTTAAAATTGATTCCTCTCATGATAGAAATTAAACTTATCATGTGACCAGCATCGACTGGTAAGAATAAGTTTTACTGCTTTTTCATGCATAAACAAAACACAGAAATTAGAAGGCACTGAGAGGACTGCATATATCTGTCTCATGTGGTCCAGTTTAACAGTTGAACTCGCTATGGGAAAGAGTAATTTCGACGCTATTGACTATCTGCAGCCCAACTCTGCTCGGGAAGCAGCGGTCCTCTTTTTTTACCAACAAATCACCTCAGTACCTATTTAGTTTGTAAACTTGTTTTCTGCTACACGTCGTTGGCGGTTCAATGCACTGTAGACAGAAGAACACGTGATAGGAATCGATCGTTAATGACCTTCTATTTCAGCACATTCGGGCTGAAGTGCAACCGATTTTCAGTCTATCGGCAGGATCGATTAATTAAAAAATGAATGAATACCCAATTTCATTTCCATTTGAACAAATTTCAAAAACGGAATAGGTTTAACCTCAAATTGATTTACTCTCATCACAAATTGTATCACAGAATCATTACATCATTAGTGGTTAGTTCAAATCTTCCACAAATTACCTCTTTCCATTCAAACGGGTTCACTTTAGTTGTTACGACTAGCTCCCGTGTCTTGGTTCATTGTGTCACACGCTATCTCCGTTGTCATCATTGCGGTTAAAAATTTTATTTGATCTGTATTGCAAAAATATGGACCTCAAAATATGAATACTTTACATACTTATTGAATAAATCGTATTTTTTCGGGAATAAGCATCCATCCATTTTTATATTTGAAAAGAAAAAGAATAATTTGTGCCAATTTCCAGTAAACAAATGTATGCCATAACATAAACGAGCCTTTTCTATGTGTGGTTGAAGGTAAAACCCTAGGCTGTTGGGAGACCAATACCAAATTGTGAGGGTGGATCACTGTGTGTGTATCTGTGTATGCATATCACGTTTTCAATTCTACCATTTCTGGGAGTTCATTCATGTCACGTTGGCCCTGTGACCCAGTTTCGAGGGCTCAGTGTTATCGTGTGTGCGAAGGCCCAGTTACGCGCACTCTGACTTATTGGGACAAATTCCGATTTACGATGTTGAATGCGTCACTTGGATTTACACGGTGATCAGTGCCTAATAAAAGAACCGGCTTTTAGGAAAATTGAAACATAGGTAATGTAATCCAATTTATTAGAACAGAAAAACAAAAAATACTGTGAAGTGTCAACATTTCTTTTAACCTCCTCAGTCACTACTAAGTACAACAAACCGCGGTAGTTATCAAAACTTTCTTGTGGAAATACCAGATTGTTTTACGTTGTAGCGACTGAGGAGGCTTACACAACTCATAACATCTCGCAGTATTTGTCTTCTCTCTGTTCCAACGAAATGAGCCGGAATCGCACTTCCGATTGATTGGGGTCCATATTGATTGAACCAGCGCGCTTAGGTTTCATCACAAACACATTTGAGCGAACAAATATCTATTGATACGGTCATTATCGAGAATTTGTCACAGTCCTGTGTGGTCATTAGTAGCGAGCCTTTGAAAGTGGCGTCGGGGTGTGTAGCGTTTATTGCAGTTTCTTTTGTTCTTTTTGGTTTTTCAATTAAAGTTTCTGTGACAACCTGAAGATTAAAAGAAGAGACAAATAAGTCCTTTTCAACCCACTCTGTAACGTTTTGTTAAATGTGATGGTATGAGAGAAATGTGCAGAGAAAACGAATTGGGACTGGTTGGATCAAATATGTAAAGCTCCTAATGCACGTAGATCAGGAATTGTAAATGCAATCGAAGTCAGCTACTGAAGTGTACCGCTACTGAGATGTAGGAATAATGCCACAGAAGAAGTGGGTAGCATATTGAAAGAAATCAAGGTGATAAAATAATATTTATGACGGAGTGTCATGGGCTGCACCCCTATTCACAATTCACTGTTTGTGCTCTTCTCACATTCTTACCACATGATTCCCGTTTGAGCCGGGGGGATTTTGATTAATTGAACCAGAAAACTGGCTTCTCGTTGGTTATTCTGAAACTGTATCATGTCGCTCCCAGACGCGTTGGGTCACCACAAAACACTTCCATAGATTCGTGCCTTTCAAACTGGAAAAATCAACAATCTAATTACTCTTGGCGCCAAAAGAATCCAATTAAACCCCTGAAGCACTCCAAATAAAACATCTTATATAAAATATCTGGTCCGGTGAACAGTTCATCAGTAAAAAACCCTACAGGAAAAAACTAGAACGCGCGTAAGACTCCCGCAAAAAAACTCATCCTATCCACCGATATGAGGAAAACGCTTATCTTTGGCATGCCCCAAATCGGATTTACCCCAACAGGTATTTACGTCGATGAATCTCTCCGTATGACCATTATCCACTTGCGTCCTTCGAACAACGGTCGCTGCTTTTTGAAGTTTATTAGCACTGCATACATTCCCATCACGTTAGAACGTATTTTTCATTAGGTCTCTTTTATACATTAGCAGAAGGAAACCAGGAAGTGGTATACATTGCCTGCTAAATCTGGAAAATCAAAATTATCTTGAAAAATACCATATTGTTTTAATTTGTAGGGACGAACGTGATCGGGCAAAACGTTGACAATTCGCAGAATTTTTCTTCTCTCCGTTCTCTTAACGGATATGTACAACGAAATAAATTGCCTGTGCTGACTGAATGTATGGTTGTCTATGTACGCATGTATATGCACAATATTTTCGCTGCACACAGCGCGATAAGTGTCCTAAAGGCTGAAGCAGCACTACGCTCATTGACTGCAGCATGGAGAAACAGATACGGTAAACAGCGCAATAATTGGTCATCTGACTGGCGCAGTTATTCGAGTGAATACTAACTTCACCTTTCGGATCGTATACCCAGTTCCCCCACACGTCTCTAAAGTATTGCTGCGTTACAAACCAGTCACTACCGAAACGAATACTCATTCGATTGTACAAACTATATCTACGAGCTTAAAAACCCAGTATTGTAATTAAGTGGCTCCCGAACCAACCGCAGCCCTTGATTACGAGGGTGAAACGTTACAGACATCATGTATAACCAAGCACATTCTTACTCGCCATAGGGTACTCATGGCTTCGGACCAAACAAAAGACCAACCCGTAAATTGCACCAAATCATCATAGAGTAGAAACTAACTGACTTGTGAATCATCGCAAAACAATTGTTTGCCTCGACCGTTTGTTTTCAACTCATAGACTCATTTTGATGATAGTCCGCCTTACCGTATCCCCGGTCGAGAGCACATCAACCGAATATGCAGCCCGCGACAATACTATTGCACCTCATAGATTTCTAGAGTATATTCACTCACACGTGCACGATGATCACCATTTTTCAGGATCCAGAGGGTAACCAAACGAAAAGCCAAAAGTTTAATAAATTACCTCTACATTTAAAGATATAAGAACAAATTTCTCACCACAACAAAGGTATTGCACCTTCCCCCTCCCCCATGAGATTGTGTTCATTAAGGCCAGGTGCATAGATCATTCTGTCTCAAACATTCTATAGACCTCAGCATATTCTCTGCCAGATTTCGACACGTCCGTAATAATAATTATTCCACTCCGTAATCAAAAATGCCTCCGGTTCGTGCTTTGTGGTGTGAATTCTGTAGGGCTGGCTGGCTGGGCGTTTACGGTACGGACGATCAAAATGTTTTCTACCGGGTTCAA